GGGATACCCGACAACCAATCAACCAATAATTAATCAACCAATCAACGGATTAAGGCGGGGTCACCGGGGCCGGGATTCCCGGGGTGGTGCTAATTCCCGGGGTGGATTGCCAGGAGCTGTACAGCCAGTCGTACGAGGAGATCGGGGTGATGTTCGCGTCGCTGCCCAACTTTGCGGATTTCTACACGGAGGAGAGCATCAACAACGGCGGCATCGAGTGCCTGCGCTTCCTCAACGAGATCATCTCCGACTTCGACGCCGTGAGGAGGCGGGAGCGGAGAGCGGGAATGATGGGAATGGATAACGGGAATGATGGGCATGGATAACAGGGATGATGGGAATGGATAATGGGAATGAGTAATGGGAATGGATAATGGGAATGGATAATGGGAATGAGTAATGAGAATGGATAATGGGAATGGATAATGGGAATGGATAATTGGAATGATGGGAATGGATAACGGGAATGAGTAATGGGAATGGATAATGGGAATGGATAATGGGAATGATGGGGATAATGGGAATGATGGGAATGATGGGAATGATGGGAATGAGTAATGGGAATGGATAATGGGAATGGATAATGGGAATGATGGGAATGGATAACGGGGATGATGGGAATGGATAATGGGAATGATGGGAATGATGGGAATGGATAACAGGAATGATGGCGGGAATGAGTAACAGGACTGAATAATGGGAATGGATAATGGGAATGATGGGAATGGATAATGGGAATGAGTAATGGGGATGAATAATGGGAATGATGGGAATGGATAATGGGAATGATTAATGGGAATGAATAATGGGAATGATGGGAATGATGGGAATGATGGGAATGATGGGAATGAGTAATGGGAATGGATAATGGGAATGATGGGACTGGATAATGGGAATGAATAACGGGAATGATGGGAATGAATAACGGGAATGAATAATGGGAATGAGTAACGGGAATGGATAATGGGAATGATGGGAATGAATAACGGGAATGAATAATGGGAATGAGTAACAGGAATGAATAATGGGATTGAATAATGGGAATGATGGTGGGAATGAATGACAGGAATGAATGATGGGATGATGGGAATGATGGGAGTTATGGGGATGATGGGAATGAAAAATGGGAATGAGTAACAGGAATGATGGGAATGAATGACTGGAATGAATAATGGGAATGAATGACGGGAACGATGGCGGGAATGAATAACGGGAATGAGTAATGGGAATGATGGGAATGAATAACAGGAATGGATAACAGGAATGAATAATGGGAATGATGGGAATGATGGGAATGATGGGAATGAGTAATGGGAATGAGTAATGGGAATGATGGGAATGAATGACGGGAATGATGGGAATGAGTAATGGGAATGATGGCGGGAATGAATGATGGGAATGAATAACAGGAATGAGTAACAGGAGTGATGGGAATGATGGGAATGAATAATGGGAATGAATAATGGGAATGATGGGACTGATGGGAATGACAGGAATGATGGGAATGAGTAACAGGGATGAATGACGGGAATGAATAACGGGAATGAATGTTGGGAATGAATGATGGGAATGAATAATGGGAATGACAGCAGGAGTGATGGGGATGATGGGATTGATAATGGGAGTGATGAGGATGATGGGAATGATGGGAATAATGGGAATGGGAATGGGAGAGGGAATAATGGGAATAATGAAAATAATGAGAATGGGGAATGGGAATAGGAATGGGGAATGGGGAATGGGAATGGGAATGGGAATGGGGAATGGGAATGGGAAAGGGAACAGGATGGGATAGGAATGTCCAGGTGGGATTATAGCAGGAATCACGGGAATGTCCAGGTAATATCACACTGGGAATAATCGGAAATATCCAGGTGAAACCATACCAGGAATTGTGGGAATATCCATATTGGATCATGGGAACGTGCAGGTGGGATCAGACCGGGAATAGCTGGGAATATCCGGGTGGGATCTCCGGGATCCCCGGGCCATTCCCGGGTTTTGTGTCCGTGCAGCTCCTGGACGAGCCGCAGTTCCGCTGCATCACCAAGATCAAGACCATCGGCAGCACCTACATGGCCGCCTCGGGGGTGACGCCCGACGCCGGCGCCAACGGCTTCGGAGCCGTGGTGAGAGCGGGATCCGGCCCTGGGACACCCCTGGGATTGTGGGATCGGCCCCTTCCTCCTGTCCCCATCCCTGTGTCCAGTCTCCATCTCTGTGTCCTCACATCCATGTCCCATCTCTGTGTCCCATCTCCCATCTCCATCCCCAAGTCCCATCCCCATTGCCCATGTCCTTGTCCCCAAATCCATATCCTATCCTCAAATCCCATCTCTGTGTCCCATCCCGAAATCCCATCATCTCCATGTCCCATCTCCGTGTCCTATCCGTGTCCCATCCTCATCTCCATGTCCCATCCCCAAATCCCCTCTCCATGTCCCATCTCCGTGTCTCAAATCTGTGACCCATCTCCATCATCTCCATCTCCATGTTCATTCCCCAAATCCCATCACCATGTCCCATCCTGATGTCCCATCCATCTCCGTGTCCCATCTGCATCTCCATGTCCCACCCTCATGTCCCATCTGCTTCCCATTTCCATGTCCCATCCTCTCCATGTCCCATCCCCATCCCCAAATCCCATCCCCAAATCCCATTCCCAGATCCCATCCCCAAATCCCATCCCCAACTCCCATCCCGAAATCCCAAACCCCACCCCCAAACCCCA